AAATCAGGTCCGAATCTATAGCAAAAGCAGAATTAAGATCTCAGACATCCTAAGCCAGGGCTCCTTTTGCCATTTACTGGCTGAGGGGTCTTCATTGGGTCACACATGACAATAGCATTTGGAGGAGGAAACACCTGTGAGTGAATCACCTTTGGAAGAAAAGTCCTGAAGGCCAGGCCGTGAGTGTGCCTCTGCTGCCCTCTGGTGGCCGTGTGGGTGCACAGGTCTCCGGTGGCTGGCCCTAAACAGAATGCAGACTCCCGGGTTCCAGTAGGGAATACGTGCAGCGGGTAGAACATTTTCACAAATCTGGTTGAAAAAATTCTGCATTTTCCTATAACGGATCCTAATTTTTAAGTCAAGCGCTGCAATGTCTTACGGCAGAGGAGTTGATCCAGCAGCTTCCAGAAACACTCAGTGGCTTTCACAGGAGTGAATAATTTAAGCCCAGCTCCCCCATGGTTGTTTCTAAGTCCTGAGCAGAGGTGCAGGGTGGCTGTGGAAGGCTCCTCTCATATTTCCGGCCTTGACCCCCAATTCCTGTCACGGCCACTTCGTGCCCCTGATGGTCACTGCTTGGTGATGACCTTCATACCCCACCATCTCTCTCCCCTGCTGCATCACTGCGAGCTGGCACTTTAGGCGGCAATCTTCCATTCCGTCCCTGAGCCTTCCCGGCCGCCTCTTCTTACCCTGTGTGTGTGGGAGGGGGCTGCGGGGGGTGAGGGGAGAGGGGTGGGAGTGGAGGAGAGGTGAAGGGGGTGGAGGTTGTTGTCTTCCCTTTGCTGTGCCCTGCAGCCTTGTGGGGAGGGAAGGCTGTGGGCACCGCTGTCATTCCGGCAACAGAGGGAAGGGGGCGCTGTGCGCCCTGGGGAATGGAGGCAGACACAGGGAGAGGAGACACCAAGGCTTAATTTTTCTCTTCACACCCTCTCCCTCCACAGGGGAAGGGCCTCTACACACTGAAAGGCGGAGGGAACACGCTCACATTAAGAGCAGCATCCTCCGGAACAAAATCTCGCCTTTTGCCACCGCGTGGATGCACCCAGGTCAGACAGGAAAGGCAAAGGCACAGGACTTCCCGCCAAGTGGAATCGAAGGGATGAAATGAACAGACTCAGACTCAGAGAACAGACGGTGGCCGTCAGAGGGGAGGGGCTGGGGGCTGAGGGAAAGGGTGGAGGGACTGAGAGTACAGGTCGGAGATAAATACAGCCTCGGGCGTGGAGTTCAGCATAGGGAACAGAGCCAGGAGTGTTGCCATCGCTAACGTGGTGTCAGGTGGGCACCGGAGTACCAGCGGGCTCACCCCTGAACGACAGCCATGCCTAACACCTTGCTGCACACCTGGAACTATTATAACATGATCCCGCCTGCCAACTGTCCTTGAGGGGAGATGGTCCCTCACGCCAGATCTCCCCATGTGGCCGACTCCGCAGGCCAGGGGGCCTTCGGGGAAAGGCCGGTTTAAACCTTATCCTCGTGTCACATTTGCTGTGTTTACATGGAAATGAACCCCGAAAATGAGGTTGTTCTGGAGACTCTTGAATCCCTGAGAATACACCCATGGTGATTAAAAAACAACAACTGACTTACGGGGAAATTCAGCCTGGACACCGCACACACATAAATGGGCCTGCAATCTGGGGCGGCCGTGGGGCCGCGGGGCCAGGGCTGAGCTGCTGGAGAAGCCACGACCCCTCCGCCGCTTTGCTGGGCAAGAGGGTGGGCAGCCCCTGCTGCCCTGCTTCCAGCTCTGCCCGTGAGCGCTGCAGAGACCGGGCCTGGGCTGGCCCTGACCTCCGGGAGGCACAGGGAGGGTGCAGGCGGGGCAGCCGTGCAGGCCTCACCCCATCCCCGGCCACTCCCTGCCCTGGCTTTGGGGACGGTGAGCCGGCTGATGCCAGCTGGAGGAGCGGATCTGTACTGGACTCAGGCAAAGTCCACGCCCGCCTGTCAGTTTCCGAGGATGGCAGCCCGGGGAGGGACACGCCTCTCCACTGGACTCTGATTTCCTGGGCTAGACGGCACTCACCCTCCCTGCCCAGGCCTGGCTTCTCCCTGCCCGCCCCGTCACCCACAGCCCTGCTCCAGCCCTGGCTCCAGCCCGGGCCACCTGCTACACCAAAGGGAGAACCCAGCCCAGTGAGGAGGGGACCAGGCACAGGGTGAGTGAGCGGGCACAGAGGTCAGTGAGCGGGCACAGGGGTGAGTGAATGGGCACAGGGGTGAGTGAGTGGGCAGAGGGGTCAGTGAGCGGGCACAGGGTGAGTGAGCGGGCACAGGATGAGTGAACGGGCACAGGATGAGTGGGCGAGCACAGGGTGAGTGAGCGGGCACAGAGGTCAGTGAGCGGGCACAGGGGTGAGTGAGTGGGCAGAGGGGTCAGTGAGTGGGCACAGGGGTGATTGAGCGAGCAGAAGGGTCAGTGAGCAGGCACAGGGGTGAGCGAGCAGGCAGAGGGGTCAGTGAGCGGGCACAGAGGTGATTGAGTGGGCAGAGGGGTCAGTGAGTGGGCACAGGGGTGAGCGAGTGGGCAGAGGGGTCAGTGAGCGGGCACAGGGGTGAGTGAGCGGGCACAGGGGTCAGTGAGCGGGCACAGGGGTGAGTGAGCGGGCACAGGGGTCAGTGAGTGGGCACAGGGGTGAGCGAGCGAGCAGAGGGGTCAGTGAGCGGGCAGAGGGGTGAGTGAGCGGGCACAGGGGTGAGTGAGCGGGCACAGGGGTGAGTGAGCGGGCAGAGGGGTCAGTGAGCGGGCAGAGGGGTGAGTGAGCGGGCACAGGGGTGAGTGAGTGGGCAGAGGGGTCAGTGAGCAGGCAGAGGGGTCAGTGAGCAGGCACAGGGGTGATTGAGTGGGCAGAGGGGTCAGTGAGCAGGCACAGGGTGAGTGGGCACAGGGTGAGTGAGCGGGCAGAGGGGTCAGTGAGTGGGCACAGGCGTGAGTGAGCGGGCACAGTGGAAGCTCAGAGACATAGGAGTGTCTGAAGGCTCAAAGGTTATGGTGAAGGCCACAGTTTATATCCGGTGCTTTTGGAAGGAAGGGCCAGGCCGGACCTTTCCTGGACAAAAGTGGGGCTGTGGGCGCCCTTTGTTCTGTGGGTGGTCGGCAGCCCCAGCTACCCCCACGGGTGCCCCTTCCCATGGGTGCCCCTCCCCACGGGGTGCCCCTCCCACCGGGACCCAGCGCTGGGCCATTGCAGAGCGTCCCCAGGAGGACCCACCACGCCCAGCTCTCCCTGCACCGGGAAGGGCAGATGCTTCCAGAAGTTCCTCCCAGGTTCTGGGTTTGACAGCTCTTTCTGAGGCGCAGCTGTTCCTCCCTGCCCCCCAAGTTAACTTAAGGGACCTAAGGGGACCCTGACCCACAGCTGGTTCCTAGCAAGGGTGGGTCCTTCCTGGTCAGTCCGGGCAGCCGGGCCGGGAGGGGCCTTGGGAGCAGGTCTCTGCCCATCTGGGGGCCCAGGAGGCCTCCCTCCTCCGGGGATGGGGGTGCCCTGCTCAGGGGCTGCTGACGGCCTGCGCTCGGACCTCAGCTCTGCCCGCCCAGCCCGGCGGCGGCTGCTCTACTGCGGGAGCGGCTTCCTTCGGAGCACGCTGACCCCGTAGAGCTGGCTCCGTGTCCCGTCCATCCTCCCGGCCGCAGTCCTCAAACCCAAGCTGCTCCGTGCCGCCCGGGCCTGGCTGACCAGCCTCTGCCCGGGCTCCTCCCCTTGGTCACTGTGGTGCCTTCACACCGACAGGTCCCTGGGCATCGCCGAGGGGGCATCTCTGAGGGGGCATCGCCGAGGGGCATCTCTGAGGGGGCATCTCTGAGGGGGCGTCGCCGAGGGGGCGTCGCCGAGGGGGCATCGCTGAGGGAGCACCGTTTTCGGACTCCTCCCTCCGCGGGCGCAGGGAGGAAGCCTCCGTAGGAGGCGGGGAAAGCAGGGGAGTAAACGTGACCTTCTGTTAACCCGGAAAGCGGTTCCTTCCCATTAGGAACCGCCTCCAGGCTGAGCGTAGCTCGGAGGACAGCACCCTGGGAGCGGCAGGAGGGGCACCAACAGAGAAGGGAGGCCGGATCCCTGTTTGCTCCCCAGGCGGTGATGGTGGCTCCTCAAGGGACCACGGAACCTAACCTTGGGAACCGGGAACCCGGGAACCAGGAACCCCAAGAACCAGGAACCCTGGGAACCAGGGAACCCTGGGAACCAGGAACCCCAGGAACCAGGGAACCCCGAGAACCAGGGAACCCCGGGAACCAGGGAACCCCGGGAACCAGGGAACCCCGGGAACCAGGAACCCCGGGAACTAGGGAACCGTGGGAACCAGGAACCCTGAGAACTAGGGAACCCTGGGAACCAGGAACCCCGGGAACCAGGGAACCCCAGGAACCAGGAACCCTGAGAACCAGGGAACCCCTGAGAATCATGGAACCCTGAGAACGGGGAACCCTGGGAACCAGGGAACCCCAAGAACTAGGGAACCCTGGGAACCAGGAACCCTGGGAACCAGGAACCCCAGGAACCAGGAACCCTGGGAACCAGGAACCCCAGGAACCAGGGAACCCTGAGAACCAGGGAACCCCAGGAACCAGGAACCCTGAGAACCAGGAACCCCCGAGAACCAGGGAACCCCGAGAGCCAGGGAACCCCGAGAACCGGGAACCCTGAGAACCGGGAACCCCGGGAACCAGGGAACCCCTGAGAACCAGAGAACCCCAAGATCCAGGGAACCCCAGGAACCAGGAACCCCGGGAACGAGGGAACCCCAAGAACTGGGAACCCTGGGAATCAGGGAACACCGGGAATCAGGGAATGCCAAGAACCAGTGAACCAGGAACCCTGGGAACCAGGGAATCCCAGGAACCAGGAACCCCAAGAACTAGGGAACCCTGGGAACCAGGGAACCCTGAGAACTGGGAACCCCGAGAACCGGGAACCCTGGGAACCAGGGAACCCTGGGAATCAGGGAACCCCGAGAACCAGGGAACCCCGAGAACCAGGGAATCCTAAGAACCAGGAAGCCTAGGGCCCAGTTTGGTGTGGGTCGGTGAGGCATCCTCACTCAGGGCTGCCCGCTCTCTCCTCTCTTCCCCAGGGAGGATGGTGGACTTCCCTGGGTACAGCCTGTCCGGCGCGGCCGCCTCCTTCCTCTTCGTGCTGCTCACCATGAAGCAGTCAGGTAGGCCTCCTCGCCCTCCATGGAGAGCCAGTCAGTCAGGCTAGAAAAACGCTTTGTTGCAAAAACCAAGTAGCATGAAAACACCTGGAAATAAACAACTAGAAGGAGAGACTTCCAGTAAACGGCTTGGAAAGCTCAGTAGCTGGATTTTGTTGTCAAAATATTGCTTTGGAAAAGGATTATGGAAATGCAGTGTCAGTGGGTAATGTCTGAGCCCTGGAGAAAGGCAGCGGACAGAGTGGGAGAAGCACCGGCCAGGGCGTCAGAAGGCGGGGCTGCCCCGGGCTGCGGGGACTTGTGGGGTGAGCCGCCCTGCGCTCTGGGTAGGGCAGGTCCCTCACCACCAGTTGGGAAGCAGCCACCAGGTGGGATGCGCTCTGGCTCCAGTGGGCTCCATCAACAGGCACACAGGTGAGCCATGGCTCCTGCAGCTCCCAGAGAGAGCCTCTACATGACCCGCAGCCATAAAGTGAGGCCAGGCTCCCGCTAAGGGGGTGGGAGCTGCACGAAGTCTGACAGCACATGTGGCAGGGGAGGTGATTAAGCACACCCACTAACACACAGAACGATTAACCTCTTCACTCTGCAGATAACAACGAAGGAGTCAAATGTGACTCAGCGTTTGATTGGAAGGTTCAAACTCTAGACAATCACTGCCCTTAACCCACCACAAATGTCCTTGTGCAAACTGCCTCTACAACAGCCCAGGGACAGGAGTCCTGCCTGCTCCAGAAAACACACACACACACACACACACCACCACCACCACCCTCACCACCACCAACAACAGCAACAGCAACAACCAAAACCTCAGTGTTTGACCCAGGACAGGAACAACTCTGAACACCACCAATAACAACAACAACAACAGCAACAGCAACAACCAAAACCTCAGTGTTTGACCCAGGACAGGAACAATTCTGAAAAGTTGAAAAATCTATTGAATTAATGTATTACCTAAATTTTATAAAAAGTGACTACAGTGTCAGTCACTTATAATATAAAGTGAAATCATGAACTATAAATCACTATCCTATATAGTAAAGAGATAATATGCAAATTGACCATCACTCCAACACACAAGATGGTCATCCCCATGTGGTCAAAGATGGCTGCCCCAGTATGGACAGCAAGGAAGGGCAGTTGTGTGGAACCAGGCCTGCAGGAGAACACAGTTGGGGGGTCCAAAGCCTGCAGGGGAGAGCAGTTGGGTGGGACCAGGCCTGCAGGGGAGGACAGTTGGGGGTGACCAGGCCTGCAGGGGAGGGCAGTTGGGGGTGACCAGGCCTGCAGGGGAGGACAGTTGGGGGTTACCAGGCATCCAGGGAGGGGGGGCAGTTTGGGGCAACCAGGTCAGCAGAGAAGAGCAGTTTGGGGCAATCGGGCCAACAGGAGAATAGTTAGGCATCAATCAGACTGGCAAGGGAGTAGTGAGGGGCAATCAGGCAGGCAGGTAGGTGAGCAGATGGAAGCCAGCAGTCCTGGATTGTGAGAAGGATGTCCCAGATTGGAGAGGGTGCAGGCTGGGGTGAGGGACACACCCTCCCCCATGCACGAATTTCATGCACTGGGCCTCTATTAAAATATAAAATAATTCAGTAATACAGTTCCCAATTAAAAATGGAGTGACATGTTAACTTACTTGGGAATGAAAACACTTCAGAGATGAAGGCAGGATTTTAAAGGTGTAGAAATTGAGATTCCAAATCTCAAATCTCACTGAAAATAATGGATTTGCCCCCAAACCACACAGCTGGCAACAGATTTGGCGCTGACTCACATTTGTGCGCTGTGTGTTATTTTCAGTGCACAGAATCGTCCCTGTCACAGCCACGCATGCACATCGCCAGGCTTGGCCTCTCCAAACACTGAAACCGAAGCCCGCCTCCTCCAGGGCCTCCATTTGGGTGGCAGGGTCTCCCAAAGCAAGCGAGTTAGCTTCTCGTTGGCATTCCCTCGTCTGCACTCTTTTGTAGAGCACTTCAGAGTGATTGGTCCCGCTCACGGCATCCTGGCCAGGGTCGGGGAAGATGCCCTCCTCACCTGTCAGCTCTTCCCCCAGAGGAGCGCGGCGCACATGGAGGTGAGGTGGTACCGCTCGGAGCCCAGCGCGCATGTGCTGCTTGCACACCAGGGCGGAGCTGAGGTGAGCGAGATGCAGACGGAGGAGTACCGCGGCCGAGTGGAGTGGGTGGAGGACGGCCTGGCCCAGGGAAGCGTGGCTCTGAAGATGTACAACATCCGACCCTCCGACGACGGGCAATACTGGTGCCGTTTCCAAGAGGGGCACTACTGTGGAGAGACCAGCCTGCTGCTCCGAGTGGCAGGTGAAATCTGGGGGAAGACCCGGGGTCTCAGAGGGAGGAGTCTGTTGATTTATGAGAAGTTCATGGCCAGTTAAAAAGCTCCCTTTCATCTTCGAGGCACTTCCAGTGCCCAGTCCTCCACCCTGATCCATCTGAGGGCAGGTGGGCCTGAGGTCTCCGGAACAGGCCCGCATGGGCCAGATCCCCAAATTGGACTGGCCTGCTTCTGACTCTTCTTGACAGTTATCTTAAATCCCTGGCACGTGGTCATTCGCAGTTTTGCTGAGGATGGTTTGTGCCACTCAGGCTGATGTGCAAGGGCAAGTTCACCCCTGAGGGAGTGAGTCCAGCTGACTGCTTAGCATCCCTATCTCAGCGGAACTGGTTGGTCTCTACCCACCACCAATATGCAGGGGCTGAGATGTGAACACCTTTCTTTGGGCAATGCCTCAGTTAGAAGGTTAGTGAAGGTTAAGACCCTCCTGCCTTTGTGGAGATTATCCGGTACTGTGTTCCCTGCGCTCCCTGTGAATGGCAGGTCCTGTCTGCCTGGTGCTTCTGTAAAGGAAAGCAGGAAGGGGTGTGGAAGAAGGGGCTCGCCAACAAAGGATCTGTCTTTAGGGAGAAAATACCTGCAAATTAAACTGCCAGGTGGTTTGCAGTCAGGAATAACTCCTCCGCATGCTGAGAACACATCAGGCAAATCCATTTACCTCGTCAGCAAGACAGTTCTTTGGACGAAGCAGTACTGGCTGCTTCCTGACACTCCCCCTTCTTTTTCTTAAACATTCCTATGTTCGAGGTGCTTCCAGATGGATGCAAGAACGTGCGTTCCTGAGATGCAGAGGGTGCACTGCACTAAGGTGTCTCACAGGCAGGGCATTTGCAAATACGCCACACGTTCTCCTAGGTTCTCGCTGGAGGAGTGGGTCTGGGTCACCTGGCGAGTGACAGGGACAGGTACCATGCAGGAAAAATACAGTCCCTTTGTCCAGCTTTGGGAGTTGTATTGAAGAGAGAAAGAATGTCAACATGGTGTAAAACTAGGATTTCACAGAAACATGTTCCCAGTGAATGGGATATTTACGTGGATGTGGGAATTTTACACACCCAGCTGCCTCAGAGCGTCCCAAACCACAGCCACCCACAGAGCAATGCGGGAGATCCCAGGGCGGGGATTTCAGACTTTTTATTAAATCGTCTGTTTAAATTGGAGTCAAGTTTCCATCCGACATGTCGGACAGAGTGATACCATTGTAAAGGACATAGTGCTATAGTCTTACTTTCAAGTGTCCTTGACAGAGAGGCCTTGGTATGAACCTCCAACCCCCCTCCCCAGCCCCCTCTCCCCCGTCCCCACACTCCACATCTCAGAAACACATGGATTCTCTCATCCATATTGAATCACCTTGAACACAGTAATATTAAGATGAAAAAAGGGGGAGGATGTGGCTAGGGCAAGTTCATGAATAAGTTATACACATCTCTGTTTACAGTACTAGAGACATAAGCCGAATGTCATGTGTCTTTTCCTCTTACTCTCCTGTCCAGACCCTAAGAAAAGCATTGCTTATCTGCAAAAATGCACCCATCCTGCCTGGGGGGCAGCGGGTGGGAACTGCCCCTGGGATGGACAGAGGACTTGGGAATGGTTTTGCTCCCCAAACCCCTAGACGTCTCTACTCTCTCCTCCCAGTGTCGCGGGGATCTCAGTCTCTATGACGTGGGACTGAATGCAGGCTGTGTCCCCTCCCCACAGGTCTGGGGTCCGCCCCGCACATCCGCATGGCGGGACCCGCGGACGGTGAGGTCCAGCTCGTGTGCACTGCGGAGGGCTGGTTCCCGGAGCCCCGGGTTCACTGGGAAGACTCCAGCGGGGAGGCGCTGCTGACTCTCTCTGAGCATCACATCCCCGACGAAGATGGCTTGTTCCGCGTGGAAGCCACGCTCGTGGTCAGGATCGCCTCCGCGGGCACTGTGTCCTGCTCCGTCCACAACCCCGTCCTCGCCGAGGAGAAGGGCGCAGTCCTCTCCGTCCCGGGTCAGCCTCCGCCCCCAGGACCACGATGCTCAGATTGGCGGGAGAGGTCCCGGATGCTTCTTTAATCAAGAAAACTGTCTAACAGTTAATAATTTGCATTGAAAGCTATAAAACATTTATGACTAGGATATATACGCTATAATTTGATTGAATAGCTATTGCTAATGGTGTTGCAATTATTTCCAAGTTCAAAATTTTCTTACTCACAAGTATGCATGACATTGTAAAGGGAAAAGATTATATTCTTTCAGCTGAAATGTTTTCTTATGTGATATTGTGCTGGCTACTTCTAGGAACTTGTCATATGCAGGTAATCAGAGGTAGAGACAATTATTTACACCATGGCATCCTAATTATAGCCTCACTGGTAAATAGCAGTAAAAACAACAGCCCAGTGAAATTACATTACAGCATCAATGAAAAGTAATATTTCAAAAAAGTTTTAATGATGGAAAAAGTTCTTTATTATGGACTGTCTAATGGTAAAGATGATATCTATTATATATCTATAAATAGGCATCTCCAGTCCTGTAAAGATTTTTGGGTTTTGGGATGCCATATATATTTAGATATAAGGATATAAGGACATCATTGTTCTTATTATAAATGAATATAGGAAGAAATTGAAGTGAATGCTATGTGTTAATATTAAAATGAGACACACTATGTTTTATCTCTCAGTTTGGAACTGTAGGTGATAATTATCTAGGTCCATATACTTTATACTTTCCATGCATTTATAAAAGGATTTGTATTATGAGGTGGTAGAACTTCAGAGCATTTTTGTTGTTCAGAGAAAAGGAAAAGCAGCTGAACCAAGAGGTGGAAAAATCAATATTTTTCTACAGTTAACTTCTTTTTTTAATGAATCTGGATTTCCAATAAAATGTAGGACTTGCTTTTATTTTTGTGAGATATCTTAACTCCTTTTCCTTAGGACAAATTGCTTACTTAACATCTTCTTGTTCTTTTTTCCAGAGAAACTCCAAACTGAGCTGGGTAAGTAGCCGCACGCCCATGGGTGTGGACTAGACAGAGGCGGAGGGAGTGGGCGCCCTGGGCCCAGCCTAGCAGGCCCCAGACACCACGTGATCCCAGGGGGCCCTCTGCCCCTGGCTCCCCCATGCCACAGCCTGCACCTGCCCCTTGCCCTGCACTCCTCACCTCATCACCACGGGAGCTGCTTTTCCAGGTGCAGCCTGGGGCCCTGGGCTGCCTGGGCCGATAATTCTCCATTTTTGTCTGTTTTGTGTTTTTCTTTCTCACTTAATAGTTGGACAGCAGGTATTTTACTGTGCCTAAGACAAGTGTTTTAAAAAATAGCCAATTGATATTTGAATGTATTTCGCTTTCTCCTTTACCTTGTTTTGGCCTTCCTCCTTTTTGTGACCTCTTCTCCCAGCCCATGGCCACAGCCTGCACCTGCCCAAATGCATGTGAATTCACTTCCCCTTCCATCCACACCCTGCTCTCCGTCACCTGCTACCGGAGTGTGTGTGTGTGGGGGGGGGGGGGGGGGGGTGGGGGGGGGAGTGTGTGCACATCAGGTGAGTGTAAGCACACTTCTATGCCCAGGCAGGAGTTTCTAGGAACATCAGGGTGGCAAACACTCCCCAGTATTCCCCAGAGTTTAGGGTGACACTTTGGACCCCAGTGGGCCATAGAGATAAAGGAAAGGGCCTCAGGAAGCTCAAAGGTAACTCCACAATCTGAGGAGAGCTGCACACCTGTGCGCCTCCCCTTTCTGTTGGGGCAACATGTGCTCAGGATCAGATGGAGCCTTCCCCAGACCACTGGTCCCTGCAGGTCAGAAGCCAAACCGGTGTTGGGCTGGCACAGGTCTCTGTCCTCAGGAGGGGTCAGGTGAAGTGTCAGCCTCTGAGCTATAGGGCCATTGGGCATGCTCACTGGGTCCCAGCACAGAGCACTGCCTGAGGCTGTGTGGTTCCTGCTTTGTGCTGGCCCTGAAACCAGAAAAGAGCCCAGCTCCCCAAGCGCCCCCCCCCAGCTCCCCCAGCTTCCCCAGCCCCCCAGCTCCCCCACCTCCTCCAGCTCCCCCAGCCCCCCAGCTCCTCCAGCTTCCCCAGCCCCCCAGCTTCCCCAGCTCCCCCACCTCCTCCAGCTCCCCCAGCTCCCTGGTGGGTGCTGGAGGAGGCCAGGCCCTCTGGTGCCCAGGGAGATGCAGGACCTGTTATCCTCAGGAATTAGGGCTGGAGACAAAGGGCGGCTGGCAGACCGAGCTCTCTCTAGAAGTCCTGAGACAGGAACCCCAGCTCCCTCTCTGGCTAATAATGTTGTTGGTTTATAAAAAGAGTGACTAGTTCTTCAAAATATTAATTATATGCTGGGCACTATGCTAAGTGCTTTACAGGAGTTTGTCCTTACGTTAATTATAAAGGTTAATAGAATTATCCTCATTTTACAGTTGGGAAATAATCTTAGAGGTGTATGTGGTTTGCTAAAAACCATGAAGAAATTGTGATGTTTGCTTTCTAACCTATGTCTGACTTACCGGTGCAAGTTCTTAGTAATTTACATGTGATTTAAGTAAAGCGTTGGCTGCTATTTTCCTCAACTTTAAAATGAACATGTTGAATTTAACCTCTAATGTGTCAGCCTATAGGAGTGTTGCTATGATATGATAGTGTATGTAGCATAGCCCTGGCTGGTGTTCTCAGTGGTTAGAGCGTCAGCCTGAGGACCGAAGGGCTGAGGTTCGATGCCTGGTCAAGGGCACATAACTCGGTTGCAGATTTGCTACCCACCCGGGGTTAGGGCCTGTGTAGGAGGCAACCAGTTGATCTCTCACATCGCTGTTTCTCTCTCTCCCTTTTGCTCTTCCCTCCTTTTCATGCTCTGAAAATCAATGGAAAAATATCCTCAGGCGAGGAATAAAATGAGACAAAACATAAATAGTACAGTATAATATGACTGAGCACCTCAGGGAGTGAGATAGCCCGGAAAATGGACACGCTGACTGGAGGAGGATTGTGTGTTGTGACCATGAGATGGTCAGGTTTCAGGGATGAGTGTGTAAGTCGGTGGGCTTCACACTCCAGGAAGGTTTAATTTTTCAGTGAATATTCCAAAGGCATTTCAGGAGCATGTGTCCAATTCTCAAAACGAAAACAAAACAGGAAGTGTGAGCACAGATTCGAAGGGAAGGGAGGGGCTGTGCACACAGCTGTAGGGGAAGGTTGTGTGGAGCAGCCCACAAGCTCTTTCCCTGGTGGAGATCGGTTCCTGACAGGCCTGCAGGACTCCGAGGGACTTAAACTCATTTCCCTTGGATTCTAGAGGAACAGGAGTTTCATGTAAAAAACTGAAAGCACAGTTGGTATACAATCTTATCCTGGTTATATTAGTTTCCGGTGTACAGTGTAGTGAGTCAGCATTTTTATACCTTACACTTGTGCTCCCCCCACTAATTCTAGCAATTATTTGTTTACTTTTTTGACTCTTATATTTGTTTTTAGCCTTTAACAGATATACATGGAATGCATACATAGTTTATATTTCAACAGATACATACTGTTTTAGGTAAAATTGAAGGATCAACCAAACAAAACAGCTGGAAGTAACTGGGGGGTCTAATTTTAGCCAGAATAGAAGGAAATAATCTGAAAATTAGAATTGTGTTGACAGTGAGTTTTCTTGCTAGAGAAATACCTGGCAGATTTTGAATAATTACGTAATGAGGATATTTTTGCTTTTGGTTGTTGATATTTGTTGCCCATTCAGACGATATGCAAATCTATACCTGTGTTTTTAATGTAAATGATCATAACATATGTGGAAGCTTTCTGACCATTTGATAGGAGAGGATGCCTCTCAATTTAGAATAGAACTAAGCTGGCATGGCCACGGCCGGAGCTGGAGGTGCAACAGCTCAGATCCAGGAGAGTCATCCGGGAACCTCCATTCTCCAAGATCAGACTCCATGTGTAGCTTCATCTTCCTGTTGCATTCTGTATTTTGCCATCTTCCCCAATTCTTGATCTTATTTTTCTCAAAATCATCTGGGGACATTGAACTTGGTGTGTGTTTAGAGCCCCACACATGTGCACCTTGGGCAACTGAAATGTGATGGCTGGATCTGACGTAGAAAGTTTAATGAAAGTGAACCAAGAGAAGGTTTCTTCACATTTCATTACTATGGTCCACCTGAAACTAACTTTCACCAAGCGCGCTGCCTGCCCTGCAAAATTACAGTTATGAAGTAGCATTGAAAATAGTTTTATGGTTGGGGTCACCACAACATGAGGAACTGTATTAAAGGGTCGGGGCATTAGGAAGGTTGAGAACCACCACGTTAAGAGATGTTAAGGTCATGCAGATTTGAAAGGATAAAGTATTATTGTATTCTAGAAGTTTTAATTGTAAAATTATCTTATTGGGCTGTAACCTGAATACAGTTATAGTTAGGGGCAGGTGAGGGTTTCCTTAGTGAATGTTTTCAGACTGACACTCATGATGGGATGGTTCGGCCTGGAGCAGGACGACCTCTATCCTGATCACACCAAATGCCCTCCTCTCCAAAGGGTGACCTTGAGCTTTGAGCTCCCCTGGGGTGCTGGTGGGTCCTAAACGCCACTTGAGATGTTCTTGCCGATGACAATTATTTTTGCTCCATTGGAGTCTTTCATTGTGTGTGTTGTTGTTTTTTTTCTGTTGTATTTCATAGCTTCCTTAAAAGTGATTGGACCTTCCCAGCCCCTTCTTGTCAGAGTGGGAGAAGACATACAGTTAACCTGTTGCCTGTCCCCCGAGGCTAATGCACAGAGCATGGAGGTGAGGTGGGTCCGAGCTCACCGTTACCCTGCTGTTCATGTGTATGTGGATGGGGACCATGTGTCTGCAGAGCAGATGGCAGAATATAGAGGGAGGACAGTGCTGGTGACTCACGCCATCAGCGAGGGGAGGCTGACCCTGCAGATACATGATGCCAGGACTTCAGACGATGGGCAGTACCGGTGCCTTTTTGAAAAAGACGGTGTCTACCAGGAGAACACCTTGGATGTGAAGATAGTAGGTAAGGGTTCTAGATAGGTGTTTGGTTCTTACTGCTTTAACATGCGGTTCTGGGAAATTTCCCCGGCATCCGAAATTTTCTTAATGTCCACTCACTCCTCAAATTAATACTGAGCCCTCTGAGGTCAGTAACTGCCATAGATCCGTAATGTCCACACACGCAAATGGACCAGATTTAGTTCTTTGGCTACAGAATTTGTACCCTTCTTAGGCTCTCCATAAAGTGACCATTTATTTAGTAAAATGTGAGAATTCTTTGCCATAATTTCACACAGGACTCGCTAGTTCACAGAATGTTATTAAAATTCTGTGCAATGTGTTGTTACTAAGAAGTGTAATGATTCGAAGATTAAACTAGATCCACATACAGACAAAAATAGTAAATATTGACAGAATTGGCAGGCTGGAGGAGGAGAGACAAAATTGTTGTCTGCCTCATAATTTGCCACAAATAGAGTGAATGAAAATGGATTTTCCAAGGCTAGCAAATGTTATTGAAGACATCGGCCAACATCCCAGGTACTGTACGTGGTTCTCCCATTGATTTTGTGTCTAAATTAGTGAACACGTTTAGGGAATATCCACAGGAGCACGTGTGGAGAAGGTGAATGGACTCCACCAATTTCTGCCATTGGACATACAGACAGGTGCCCCGCCCCCAATGTGTACATACTTGAACAGGCGATAGCTCAATTTTGAAAATGAATTGTGTTTTAATACACACTGCCTTTATAACTCTTTAAGGTGTGTGTACACCTTTTGGGGGACTTCGATCTTGGAAACTATATTCTCTTGCTTATTGACTCACATCCTGGACATGTGGTTTACTCCCCTGTCAAAATAATTTTGTTCTCAGGCAGAGAATAAAAGAGATTGGATTAGAAATTTATTGTATCCTTTCACAGGTCTAGGATAATTTCAGAAATACAAAAATAAATAAGCCAGCAAAATAAAACGGAAGCAAACCACTTCAGCCAATCTCACCCCTCAGTGGAATGTAACACACACACACACCTCCTGGCCCCCAAGCTTTGCCCTCTCCTCTCCATCTGGGTCCTCTGGGTGCTCTCCCTGCTGGCATTGCCACTTGCAGAGACTGAGGTTTGTGTCCGGATCCTCCTCCCAGGTCTGGGCTCTTCCCCACGGATCACCCTGGAGGGACCTGTGGACGGGGAGATGCGGCTGGTGTGCTCCTCGGAAGGCTGGTTCCCGCAGCCCCGGGTGCGGTGGACGGACTCGGAAGGGAAGCCCGTGCCCTCATCCTCAGAGGCGCTGGCCCAGGGCGGCGATGGGCTGTTCCAGGTGGAGGCCTTCCTTCGGGTCATAAGCAGCTCTGCTGCCAACGTGAGCTGCTCCGTCAGCAACCCGGTCCTGGGCGAGGAGAGGACGGCCACCTTCCTTCCCTCCGGTGGGTATTCCAGGTCCTCGCTCCGAGGGAAGAAGTGTGAGGCCCAGCCAGACCTTTGTTTGCTCGCGGTGGGTTTTCCTCTGGATTAGAAACTAATTTTCCTAACACCCTGCCTGGCTGTGGGCTGGCCACTGTGTCCGCCCCCGTCACTTCCCCCTCACTGTCCACGGAGCGTGGCGATGTAGCCGGAAAAGACAGGGGAGAAATGTGTGTGTGACTGTGTGCTTGTGTATGTGGGTGTGTGTGAGTGTTTGTATGTGTATGTTTGTGTGAGTATGTGTGTGTGTGAGTGTGTATGTTTGTATCGGTGAGTGTGTATGTTTGTGTGAGTATGTGTGTGTGTGAGATGAGTGTATGTGTGTGAGTGTGTGTGACTGTAAGTATGTGTGTGTGTGTGTGTTATTGTGTGTGTGACTATGTGTTTGGGGGTGAATGTGAATGTGTACGTGTGTGTGTGTGTGTGTATACACTATGTGAGTGTGTGAGTGTGTATGAATACGTGTGTATGTGTGTGTATGAGATGTGTGTATGTGTGTGACTGTGTGAGTGTGTGTGACCATGAGTATGTGTGTGTGAGTGTGTAGTGTTATTGTGTGTGTAAATATGTGTTTGGGAGTGAGTGTTTGTGAATGTGTTACTGTGTGAGTGTGTGTCTGTCTGTCTGTCTGTGAGGAGCAAACAATAAAGCAGCCTACACTTCACTCTCCTCAGCTTCTGCCGGGCGGGGAGGATCAGCCAGCTTCTTCCCCGAGGCCCAGTCCCACCTCCTCTCCAGCTCAGGGGGCTGTCAGATACAGTGGATGTTCTTGACATTTGCCCAGTTTTATGATTTAACTAGGGACCTAGTGCATGAATTCGTGCATTTTGAAAGGAACTGTGGGCCTCAAGGTTTCAGTGAACATAGGGGCCAGTCTCACCCCATCCTCCACGCCCCTGCCTGGTCCCTCCTGCCCCAGTACCCAGTCCCCTATCTGCTGGCAGCCCACTCCCTCCACTATCGCTCCCACTCACTGACAGCACCAGCCTCGCTCGCTCACACTCGCTGCTGGTGTCTGCCCCAATCACTGTGCGCCATCAGCAGGTGCAAGCAGCTACTGCTGCCCTGATTTCCCCTCAGGAGCAGGGGGGGTGCAGAAGTCCTCAGGGACAATGGGGCTGGCAGCCTCTGCTCGCACCCACTGATGGCTCTGGCACTGTCAGTGAGTGCAAGTGGGGCTGGCGCCAGCAGCAGATGCAAGCGCCCAGCAGACTGGCATGCAAGAGCAAAGAAGTTTCAGAAACCACCGAAGTCGCCCCGATGACAGCCACCAGCACCCTGACTTGGTCTGGTGCCCCCACTCACCTGCTCCACCATCCTGCCATGGCAGACTCCCACCATATTCTGTGCTCTGCTGCTTGCTGCTGATGCCTGCCATGATCTGCACTCACCCCTGCTGGTCAGCATACGTCACAGTGACCAGTTGTTCAATTGTTCAGTTGTTCTGCTGTTCTGTCCGTTTGTATATTAGGGTTTTATATAGATAGATAGATGAGATTTTTGGTTTAATTTTAGACTGCAGGATGACTTTTTCATGGAAGATACTGCTTCTCCTGGGACTGCCTGCTGTGGTGGTTGTCGGCCTGATCCAGATGAAGAGCTTTGGTAAAGGTACGAGAGGCAAACAGGCTGTGGGCACACTCCGCCGGGGGAACCTTCTCTCTTCAGGAGGCGCCTATGGCAGTCATTCACCGAACAGTCAGTAACTGATGAAACACGCGGGTCCATGACTTAACGTTCATGCACCAGGATTGGTGCTGAGTGAGGTCAGAATTCACAGTGATATAGAAGCAGAAGGATGTAAAGACAATCATCTGTGGCTATGGACATTCCCAAGTGCTGTTGTTAGGGGAGAGGAAGAAAAATGGTGGCAAGGCCAGCTGGCTTTCCAGGCTGTGAGCTGAGACACAGATCCATGGGCAGGAACATCTCACTGAGCTTTCACAATGTGGTGACTTGCTTATTGGTGATGAAAGACTTCTCATGTGTTGAGAGGCTGTTCTAAGTGCCCTAGAAAGTTCCTCTACTTTAAATTTCTTATTCACGGTAACATTTGCTTGCCTGTTTGGATGTTAATTTCACAAAATTAATATTTTTAATACTTCCATAATATTGCTTACTGTAAAATTGGAATTTCTTCCTCTACAGTGAATGAGACACTGGATAAAATACAGCTCACCCATAACTGACCCCTTCAGAGGGAAGGGAGTGTGGGACCCATGGACAGTCATGCAACCAGACGTCCCTCAGAGACCTGACAGTGTACTCCGTGCTCCGGGCCAGGAGGTGTTCATGTCAGAGAAGTTGTACTGGGAGGCAAACACTGGGGATAGGACAGGATTGGTCCTAGCTGTTGCCAAGGACAATGTGGAGGGAGTCATCGCTGTGTCACCTGAGAACGAGTTGAGGCAGTGGGTGCTATGGACATGAGTCCTGGGCTATGCCCTTTTCTCACACCTCCTTTCCCTGGAGATGATGCCCAGGAGGGGTCAGACTCTCACCTCTTTCTTTATAACATGACCAAGCGCCCTATAGTCACCTTCCCCATTTTATTCTCTGAAACTCTATGCCTCCTCTCCATTCTTTGGCCCCTAATGTAGGTTCCCCTGACACTGTTTCCTTGGACTCTGAAAACCAAAATTAGATTCCAAGCACCAGCTTGTTTTTGTTTTTATTTTTCACCAACAATTGGGACTTATGAGGTCATTAGGTATCAGATCTAAAATGCTGTAATCTCTGGCTTCAAATCTGACTTGGTGACTGATCCCTTCAGAGACATAACCATCCAAAGTCCTCTGATACTTGCCTACTGAAATCTATCTGATATTGGATGACCAAAGACCCTTAGAAAATCCAGTGGGGAATGCAATTTAGCCTAGAGAAGGACATGCAAGATATGGCCCAGTATTTGATTGGTTTCTTTAACAAGGTGACAATTAATTATCCAAGTAGGGCTGAGAAAATTATAAACACAGTTGAAAGAGAGTAAAAGAAAATATAGCTGAATATACAGAGAAAAAAAATTATCACTAAGACATAATCTAGACCAGGGGTCTTCAAACTACGGACCGCGGGCCACATGCGGCCCGCAGAGGAGTCTGATCCGGCCCGCCAGGTTTTTTGGGCAGTGAGTGCAGCCGAGGTGTTACAGTAGGAATTAGTAGTTCATATAGTCTGGCCCTCCAGCTCTCTGAGGGACCGTGATCTGGCCCCCACTTTAAAAAGTTTGAGGACCCCTTCTAGACAATCATTCGAGTGTGCAATCTCACACTTCCTCAGAAAGTTAATAGAAAATGTGGAGTGGAGATAATTTTCAGAAATTCTAGTCCACAAGAAAATTTAATTATGTAAAATGTCAATTTTTCTTTTAGAGAAAAATAAAACACAGTTTAAAAATCAATAATTATAAAATAAACTAGAGGCTTGGTGCACAAAATGCACCATCTCCAGTCTGGGACTGCTGGCTCCCAACCACTTGCCTGCCTGCCTGATTGCCCCTAACTGCTTCTGCCTGCTAGTCTGATCACCCCCTAACCACTCCTCTGGCAGCCTGATCGACACCTAACTTCTCCCCTACTGGCCCAGTTGCCCCTAACTGCCTTCCCCTGGAAGCCTGGTCTCCCAACTGCCCTCCCCTGCTGGCCTGATCACACCCAACTGCCCTCCCCTATAGTACTAATGCTGACCTGATTACGCCCAACTGCCCTCCCCTGCAGGCATGGTTCCCCCCCCAACTCCCCTGCTGGCCTGATTGAGCCCAACATCCCTCCCCTACAGGCCTAGTCCCCGCCAACTGCTCTCCTCTGCAGGCCTGGTTCCCCCCCCCCCCCCAATTGTCCTCCCCTGAAGGCCTGCCCACCCCTAGCTGCCCTTCTCTGCCAGCTCGGTCACACTTACCTGCCCTCCCCTGCTGGCCATCTTGTAGAGGCTATCTTGTGTCCACATGGGGGTGGCCTTCTTTGACCACATGGGGGCAGCCATCTTGTGTATTGGAGTGATGGTCAATTTGCATATTATCATTTTACTAGATAGGATAGATGTAAGCAATAAATGTAACAGTAAGAATATTTTAAAGTCATAATAAATTAAAGAAGAGAGGTTACATGAGGAATAAGAAATAACATGAAAAAAAGAATGTCTTGGAAAAGTCTTAACATCTTCTGAGGTGAGAATGGGGAATATCTGCAAACAGCACTGCTGCTTCCCAGGTTGGCAATCATAATTTTGCTGTTCTGTGAAGGTCATTCATCTACAGTAGGGGTGTCGAACTCAATCAGAGAAGGGGCCAAAATCTAAAATCCAGCCTAAATCATGGGCCGAATGGTTTACTGAACAGTCATAAACTGTCATTGTGATGGAAACGCAGCGGAGTGCAGTGATGACAGCGCGGTGCGGGCCACATTGCAAGGCCTGGCGGGACGGATTTGGCCCGCGGGCCTTGTGTTTGACACATGTGATCTACAGCATTCTGGAGGTTCTTTCCAGTCATGACATTCCTTTTCTGTTTAAACTCATAACTTTGTGTTTGAAACTACGTTAATTCTTCCACAGTTATGGACACATTTATTTTATTTGCTTTTAAAATTTTTTAATTGATGTAAAATACACATACCATAAAGTTTATCATTTTGACCATTTTAAAGTACACAATTCAGTGGTATGTATATTTTCATAATATCATGCAACCATCATCATTATCTAGTTCCAGAATATTTTCAATATTCCAAAAGAAACTCCATACCCAATAAGCAGGCACTACACATTTTTCCCTCTCCCCAGTCCCAGGCCACTGTTAAGCTACTTGGTCCTGATGTATTCACCTCTTCTCAATATTTTATATAAATGGAACCATGAAACATATGGATATTTTTGTGTCTGGCTTTTTATACTCAGTATAATGTTTACAAAGTTTATCCATGTTGTAGCATATAACAGTACTTTGTTCTTTTTTAGAACTGTTTGAGGTTCACAGCACAATTGAAAATCCAGAGTATTTCCATACTCCTCCTCTCTCCCCCCATAGCTTCCTTTATTATTAATATATTGCATTGGTGTAGTACATTTGTTATATTAGAATGAATATTAATGCATTATCTTCAACTAGAGCCCACGGTTTACATTGGAGTTCACTTTTAGTGTTGTATGTCCCATGGAGCTTTACAAATTACTTACACATTTTGATACATTAATATGCCCTCCATGCCTTTTAAATTTTTAATATAAATTTAGTGGTACATTTAGTAGTAAACAAATTTAGTAATAAATAGATTAACTTTGCCTTAAAATATTTTTGACATTACTCTATTTTGATTTAATGTAACTGAAATTTTTAATTTAGTATCTTGAGGTTAACTGTCTTCTTTATTTTTTGTTTTTATTTTTTTACTGTAGCCTTTCTTCCTAATCAAACTAGCTCTTTGCTTGTTAGTCTTGTGTCCTTGTGCATATTCTATATATAAATACATACATTCCTTAAGACAATTACATGAAAATGTTTGTTTTTTTTATCAGTCAAAATTTTTACTAGCTAAAGAACATATTTTTCCATTAGCTCTCCAAATCAGGGATTAATTTACAATCTCACTTCCAGTTCTAATTAAAAAATCCATAGGAAAGGAGAATGATTGAGGGCTTGGGCGAAATGCAGCAATTGGTGAGTCATTCAAGGATCTTGATGCATAGATGGTTATAGTCACATAAAGCATGACAACTCTCAGAATAGATGTAGAGATTGAATAAATCTTAGTTTCAAGGAGAGGACTGGAGGAAACAGAGAAACTAAATTTGTTAACCTCCCTGAAGGACTTTTTCATTATTAGTCAGTAAACTATAAGTTCCATTACAGCAGAAATATTTTTCTTTTTTATATGTCCTCACAACTAGAAAAAGTACCATCAAGTGGTTGATCAATAAGCATTTGTGGGATGCATGAATAGATTTGTAAGTAGGATATTTATTGAGTCCTTATTTGTAGAGTGAACTCTGGTAGGCCCTGGAGATAAAATGCTTAATAAGTTATAATTTCTGCCCCATATTTTTTTTATTCTATTGAAGCTTCTTTGTCTTTGCAATGTCTTATCATTCCTTTATAAATTCTACTCATAATGGGTTTTCCAGAGTAGTTTATCAATAAAGAATTAAATTGATGGAGTCAGACTGAATTCAAGCTCATTACTTTGCCAGAAACCATAGGCTACTTGGCGACCCTTCACTGCCTGATTTTTGCCCACACTAGAGATGAGGATGCTGTGGGTGATGTCATCCCTGACATTTCTACAACTGATTCTAAAGGACATCAATCCTCACTGATGTTCTTTCATTTAGTTCTTTCAATTATTTCTTTCATTGCCCACCTCCAACCTAAACTGCCCAATCTCTAAGCTTAAAGGACAAAAGCTCATTAAAATGAGTGGAGAAGTGAAAGATGGAAGAATCCTGTTGTAGAACAAAGTATGCATTTAGTTCCAGTAGAAGAGACACTAAAAACTCATTTGAGAACCTCATGCTGAATATCCTACATTTAGAAGGAAAGAAAAATATCCTAAACTGAACCCATTATCTTTCCTGCTCTATTTCATAGTTCCAATCTCATTTTTCTTCTGTTTTGTTTTGACCCCATGTGTAGGGTTCTCATACATGGGAATATTCTTCTTGGTTCAAATACTGGCTTTGCCACTTAGTGAACTGCGTCCAGCATGGCCAGTGGTGAACCTGAGGAGGGGTGGTGAAGGATTAAAGAAAACAGACAAGAGGGTATAGTTGGGGCCAGGCCTGAGCTCCTGGATCACAGTGACCCTGCCTGTAAGCTGAATTTTATAGTCAGATCACACAAAGCAAAACAAGGGAGTGGTCAAGATGTCCTTTTTTCCCCCCATTGCCCTCTCCCAACTCTCTCCCCACTAAGCCTTCCCCAACCACTGTCTGTGTCTAGAGACTATGAATATACACATATGTGTTCATTGGTTGATCTCTTTCCCTCTCCAACCTCCCCTGCATTCCAACTGAGGTTTGACAGTCTGTTTGATGTTTCTATGTCTCTGGGTCTCTTTTTGTTCATCAGTTTATGTTCTTTATTAGATTCCACATATGGGTGAGATCATGTGATATTTATCTTTTTCTGACTGGCTTATTTTGCTTAGCATAATGCTCTCTAGGTCTGTCCATACTGTTGCAAATGGTAAGATTACTTTCTTTTTTCTAACTTCATAGTACTCCATTTTCTAGTATTTATTTCAACACACACTGAGAGATGGAACAGAAGAGATACCATGCATTTGTTGGCAGTTTTCTGTGACAAATGGTTGCTGCTCATAAAGAGACTACATTGCCCCAAAGGTAACATTGGAGGAAATTCTCCAACCATTTTCCAGTCGGCCCAATTCCTCTTTCTGCCTCCTCTTTGAAAGGGGCTAAAATGTTAATCTACTGGAAATGAGCTACTCTCCAAACAGCAACAGCTTTCTCACCCACAAAAGCCTGAGTGGAGGCAGCTCAGAGATACCTAAGGACTGACACTTCATTTCTTACTGAGGTAACAGAGTTAGCTTCTTGGGGGACACCCATATTAGAACTCCTTGAGTGAGTCGCAGAGCTCTTTGGAGAAGAATCAGGACAATTTTCAATGTGATCTAAACCTAAGCAGATGGCCACAGATGTACCAGGACCCTGAAGGCTAAAATAAGGACGGAGGACCCCACAGAATTTGATTCTAGTGAAGGAATAGAAGTAAGATCCATCAACCATGTCCCCAGCCTCCCAGTCCAGGAACACTCCTATCCTGTGGGGGTGTTGCCTCAGCGACAGAGACTCTGACTAGGAAGTGAGAACCTTGACTTCCCCTTCCTTGTATGCCACCACTCAGAAACTCTTTTCTGAACTTTCTACAAACCACCCCTCTCTCTTCACTGTATCTGAGCAGACACCCAGTGCCCATCAGGTTCCAGGTCCACCTTCTGCTCCCACATTTACTTCTGCCTCCCAGCAATGTCTCCCTGTGGTAAAGCAATGCTGGCCCAGAACACTGAAGGTGTCCTCTTGCTCCTGCTGTGTGGGGCCGTCATTGTTCTGAGAAACATTTTCTATTGAAGAAACATGTGTTCTACTCTCAGATAAGAGATGGGTTTGGTATGAGCTGTGTCTGGATCCACAGTAACAGCCACTGCAGGTATGAAAAAAAAAAAAAAAAAAGTCATTCCACAATCAAGACTGGCTGGTTTGGGAAAGATCCAAATACAGGAAAGGGGACATGTTGGAAAAGAAAAGGGAGAGCAATGGAAGAGCAGGTAAACCATTATGTTCTATCCATATCTATTCATTGGTGATGCATGGTGTGTAGATTATAGAAGGTCAGGGCTGACAGGACCTGACAGGACCCACAGGCAGACGCTGTTTAGAGAAGAGGGCTGTCTCATCTGAAAGCCCAGGAATAGGTACTGCAGGATGGAATCTATCCAATTCCCTTCAGATGCTGGCTGTTTGCTCTTAATAATTAAGTCCTGCCATATTTCAGTCACACTGTACCTGAAGCTTCTTTGGCTTCCTTTTCTGTTTGCTTATGTAATAACTCAGGTATCCTTCTCACCTGCACTTATTATATTTCTAACAATTGAAATCCCAGGCTCTTTAGTCAGAAAGCCCCCAATTGTGACAACCACTCCATCCTTAGGAGCTTGGAAGTTGGCGAAACTGCTTTGCTTCTCTCAGCATCACTTTGCTCTCATGACAACGAACATATTATAATTCTGATCCTTCAGCATAGGACTATGGTGAGCAAGAGATGAGATAATGTGTAGGGTTTAATACTGCCTTGCCCTTGATGAACACTTGGTAAACTTTAGCTTCCAGGAGTTCTAGCAGCACTAATACTGGATAGTAAGAGTAGCCGTAGCACTAGTAGTAAGCAACCTGCTTCTTGTCAAACCCAACACGTTCAATAATTAAAGTTTTTTTAGGAATGTATGTGGGATATTATGTGTTTGGAGGATTGTGATAACTAGAAAATGGGTGTGGATGCGGGGATATGCAGAGTAAAGCAACATGCTTTGCTCTGTCTGACATTGACAATCCACTCTAACTCTGGAAAGACTCTGAGGCCAGGGCCATTGTGCACTTGCACTGAGTGGCAACAAGCTGTGCTCTGTCTCAGCATGGTTACATAGCAGACTTCCTTCCAGCTCAACTACGCTTTCAATGTTATTCACATGAATAAATCTACCCTGTCACTGGTCAGATTGGACATCATTTTTTCATGGCAGTGTCTTTAATTGCCATTTCTTCCCTTCATAGCAATTGCTTTTTCCTTCATAACATTCATCACAATTTGTATGTGCACTTTCCCATGGAGTCAGAGACTAGCCCTGCTGTATTTATTTGACACTGAATAAATAGTTGTATAGATTTAGGCTGAATGAATGATATCAGCATAGTATAAAATCTGTTAATGTTTCAGCACAAAATTGAGACTAAAGTGAAAGCCATAAAATACTACCCCAGGAGGTGTTATTGGCTGTTTATATAAATACGAGATTTTATGGTTTGTATAAAAGAGATTATGTAGGACAAAAGGATAGGACCACTCACCTGCTTTGAAATGTTCCTTTCTCCAGTCTAAAGAGAAGAAAAAAACCGGTTTGGCTCAATGGACAGAGCGTCGGCTTGGGGACTGAAGGGTCCCGGGTTCAATTCCAGTCAAGGGCATGTACCTTGGTTGTGGGCATATCCCCAGTAGGGGGTGTGCAAGAGGCAGCTGATTGATGACTCTCTCTCATCGATGTTTCTAACTCTCTATCTCTCTCCATTCCTCTCTGTACAAAATCAATAAAATATATTTTTTTTAAAAAGAGGTAAGAAAATGCCTGTATACATTTTAATAATAAATACATATTATTTAAAAAATATATGGCAAGAATGTGTCCTCTGAACTAGTAGGATGCTTATTCACTTAGCCGCTGTTTTTCTGACCCTCAGTTTCAACATAAAATCTCCAGAAGATGGCACCTTTCTAAACATGCCCTGGAAATGCTCATGAAATCCTGGGGCACCTGAAGCCCCAAGACAACATCAGTTACTCACCAGCATACAACCCAGCTTTCCTCCAGTCTGAAATAAAACAAAGAAGTTAGATATTCCCATTCAAAGGGCATGTGCTTCAGACTGAAATTGCTGTAACCACACGAAATCTGAAGGTTTATGGTAGTGCTATATTTCTGTGTTCATCTCAATGAAAATTATGGGATGTTTGTCTTATTTTATATTTCCTGTGCTATCTCTTCATACTTTCCACACCCACCAACACATCTGTGATAAAATATGAGGGTCTGGTTCTTTTGGGAGAAGAAGAGGGTTGGTTATAATTGAGAAACTGTGTTGTAAATCCTGAAATTCCATTGCTGTCTTGACATCTTTGAGCCTCACAGGAATCCAAATGCCCAACTGTGAGTGCCCCTGTTCTCACTAGATATGCTCTCTCCCCAGAAGGAAAAGCTCCACCCAGATAACTCCACTACCAGTCAAAGCAGCTGACCTTATCTGTCCTCAGCCCAATAGTGGGGTTCACCTCCCTGTCAGCTGGAAAAAGTATTCAAACATGTCGATCACATACTTCTACAGACAACAGGAGTACCTCATCCTACTGTTATTACGATCCTACCTCCCACAGCCCTGCTGGTTGACTCTGCTCCAAAGTGCAACCTCCATGTGTCCTGCATGGTGTGTGGTGCCCTCCCCCAGGATGTGAGTATGTGATTAACAATCCGCTACCTATCTCATCTGCCTGGTATTGGGTGATCTTTTATTCCTTTTTGGGTGGGGTACTCCTCTTCCCCTACAAGGTCGATAGGAGGAGGTGAAAACAGAGGGGCAGATGAGATGGTTGATCCAACAACATCAGTCTAACTCACCTTGATTATATAACTCTCCTTCTGTCTGAAAAGCAATAACAGTCTGTGAGATGCTAAGTGTACAGAATAAAGTAATGACTAGAAAAGAAAAAAGAAAAAAGAACTTACTAAGCTCTTTCTTGAAAGATTCTATAAAGGCAAGAAAATAACAAATCAGATTTTACAGAAAAATAGTCCAAGGTTTACTTTCTAGACTGTTACTGAGCCCAGATCCTAAATGCTATTTCCATCTACCTAGATCAAGAAATTTGCCTTAATTGAGAATTACTGTGGATATTTATTCTTGACTCCCTGATTACACTAGTAAGTTTCCTCTCCCCATTGGACTCTAATATCATATTTTTCTCATGACGGTCCTGGGCTCCATGTCTTCTTGAAGGTTATGGGGCTCTAACTAAGTTCTACGCCTGTCTCTGTGTCCCAACAGATGCCATCCATGTACACAGCCATGCTAACAATCTCATAAATTTACTGCTGTCCCCAAGTCTCCTTCAGTTTTACCTTTGATTTGGCTTCTTTTTACTTTTCCCTCCTTGGCTTCCTGTACTCTCTTCCTTTCCTGTTGCTCTTTCCAGGTCAAAAATACAACAGCACCGATGACAATCCAACTCACAGTGAATGCTACTTTCCAAGGAGAGGTCCTAGGGAATAAGGGCTCTGATACAGGGACCCCAAAGCCTGACCCAAAACATACACTGAGCAAGCCTATTCCACCCGGTTTCCAAACATCTCCTCCTTACTCCTGTCCTGTCCCCAAAATGGCAGTGCTGACCTGGGATAGAAATTGTTTCCACCTGCTCTTGTCTGATGAAGGGATTCTTTGTGGTGCAGGACACCTCTCACTTTGAGCTGTCTCTCACAACGAGGGATGCCTCAGTTTGAAACAACCCATCATCGTCTTGGGTCCTGTCCTCAGAGAAAGAAGGTATCTTCTCTCCCATCACATCTTTCCATTGTACCTCAGGCTGGGGGAACCATCTCTTGCCTGTGCACATCTTATTCCTTCATCTTCTGGACCCACCATGAAAATATGAGGACCAGAGCCCAGACCTGGAGAGGAAAGCCATTCATCTGAGACATGAATATGTTTTGTCCAGATGTCCCTAACATTGCACAGTAAAACCTGTGTGAGGAGATGGACAAAGTACCATAGTTCTTGGTGGAAGGACAAGGCATCTTACCTTCTCCCATGAGATAAATGGGTATATGTAGTTCAAATTCACAGGAGACTTAAATTTGATACTGGGACTTATTCTGATACCTGACACATCTTCTCTACCCAGAGATATCTGCAATTGGTCATAGAAGGATTATAGAAGCAGCATAATAAAATTTGCCAATGTTGAATTCTTTCAGAAAACAACAATATATCTCTACATCTATATCTACTGTGGCCCAGTGCATGGATTCGGGTACATTGAAAAGAAATTAATTAGAAGAGAGATTCATGAGGTAATTACATTACTGCAAAAATTACATGTCAAAATAGTATATATAATATAGTATTATAAAATTAAAATACAAAATATTTAATATTGCTATTCATCATTTATAATAGAAGTGCGTGAGTCAACACTTATTTTTAAATTGCCAGTAGATATCATCTGTACTGGCCGGTCAGTCAGGAATGGTCAGTCACTTAGCCTTTTATATATAGAGAGACCTATCTCTATGTCTATCACTATATTCATATCTGTATCTGTATCTATGTATCTATCACCTATATCTATCTATTCCATTTATTGGAGTCTCAAGAAAACTTTTTGTGCTTAAATTGAGACTTCTTATAGTCACTTCCTAGAAAAATCTCTGTTTTTTCCAAATCCTCTTCCTTGTTCTGAGTAGGGATTATATATAAGATGAAGGTATCCACGTGAATTGAGGCCATTAAGGTGTCAAGATGTATTTTGTTTTTTACTCTCATCCATTTCTTTTCCCTTTACCAACTCTCCTCTTCAACTCAGCACAGGCTGGGTTCATTTGTGGGTCCATGTCCCCAGCACCTGTAACAAAACATCGCATACCAGAATGCTAGAAGAATCCACTGTCTCTTTGAGAATAATGTGTGTCTTGACTTCTAAAACTATATGTTATTTTTTATTAATATGAATCCTCTTATGTCTGGTTCATTCCTCCTTCAATTCCTTATATGTAGAAAATATATTATGAACCTCAGCTATTCTCAATCTCTCTCTCTCTCTCTCTCTCTCTCTCTCTCTCTCTCTCTCTCTCTCTCTCTCCTTTCTTACTCTCTCGAGAATCAATGAAATAAAACAACCTCAAGCAAGGATTAAAAAAAAAAAAAAAAGCAGGGCCTAAAACAATGGTCAGCAAACTCATTAGTCAACAGAGCCAAATATCAACTATACAATGATTAAATTTCTTCTGAGAGCTAAAATTTTTAAACTTAAACTTCTTTTAATACCACTTCTTCAAAATAGACTCACCCAGGCTGTGGAATTTTGTTGAAGAGCCACACTCAATAGGCCAAAGAGTTGCATGTGCTTCACAAGCCGCAGTTTGTCAACCACGGGCCTAAAACACAAGGTTTCCTAGACTATCCCAATGGAGTAGAGAAATTTTCCCCTTTAAAGAAGAAAATGAGAGAGAACCAAGATGGCGGCCTAGGTAAGCGCCTAAACTGCCGCCTTCCACAACAATTTCAAAATAACAACTAAAAGACAGCAATGACATCATCCAAAACCACAGGAAAGCTGGCTGAGCAGGAAATTCACAACTAGAAAGAAGGAGAGAGGTTCACGGATTAGATCTGGAGCTGCAAAGCACTGAGGTAGGGAGATGCTAGAGCAGAGAGGAAGAGCGGCTGACTGCCCAGCTGGTGGGAGGGGAAAGGAAGCCCCTGGCTGCATTCAACCCCAGTTTCAACTGCACTGAAGCCCAGCCCAGGCCGAAACCCTGTGGACTCAGGTACATACAGGTGGATATAGACTGTAGAGAAAGGCACCCATAGACTCAGAGTCTGGCAGACGTGAGTGAATGTGTGCAGAGAGGTCTGACCAGACTGGGAGACTCCGGAGAGCCAGGAGTCACAGCACGTGAAGGAGATCTTGCAGAGAGGTCTGATGGCAAAGGTTGCTGTGGCCTCTTCATAGCGGAAGGAGTCAGAGGCTCCTAACTGCACTGAATCCCCAGCTCCAACTGCACTGAGCACTGAAACCCAATTCCAGGCAAGCCCCTGGGGCTTCCACACTCTTACAAGGGGAATCTGGACTGTCAGGCATAAACTCAGGGGATCCGTGGAAGGCAGAGGTCTGAGGCACACGCAGGACTGACAGGAAGCCAAGACTGACAGCTCAGCCCTGAGACTCTGCCCCATCCAAGCTGAGTTCAGAGGCTTTTGTAATTTTGCAAGTCTGATCCTATAAGACTGTCTCCAATACAGAAGGTATCCTGGTGTAGACACAGCTGATACTCACATCCAATAGGTCTAGAGGTCAGTTCCTCCCAGTGATACCAACAACAATCAAGACTTAACTACAACAAGACTGTACACGCAGTACACAAAGGGGAGCACCAAGAGTGTCTACCTCAGGTACCTGGGGTGGCTGACCCACCGGACCATATAGGACACCAAGCACAAAAAACCACCTTACCAATTCAGGGAAGCAGCGAAAATGCCGAGACAAAGAAATAGATCTCAAACAAAAGAAATGGAGGAGAACAAAATAGAGTTCAAAACCACAGTTATAAGATTTTTCAAGAATTTCCTAGAAAAGGCCCATAAATTTAACGAGACCCTCGAGGATATGAAAAAGGACCAAGTAGAAATTAAACATACACTGATGGAAATAAAACATGTTATACAGAGAACCAATAACAGACTAGAGGAATTCAAGAATCAAGTCAAAGATTTGGAATACAAAGAGGCAAAGGACACTTCTCTGGAGAAGCAAGAAGAGAAGAGAAAATTGAAGATAGTGTAAGAAGCCTCTGAAACAACTTCAAACATACCAACATCAGAATTATGGGGGTGCCAGAAGAAGAGAGAGAGCAAGATACTGAAAACCCATTTGAAGAAATAATGTCAGAAAACTTATCCCACCTGGTAAAAGAAATAGACTTACAAGTCCAAGAAGCACACAGAACTCCAAACAAAAAAAATCCAAAGAGGACCACACCAAGACACATCATAATTAAAATGCCAAAAGCAAAAGACAAAGAGAGAATACAAGCAGCAACAGGAAAACAGTTATCTATAAGGGAGCACTCATACAACTATCAGCTGATTTTTCAACAGAAATTATGCAGGCCAGACGTGAGTGGCAAGAAATATTCAAAGTGATGAACAGCAAGAACCTACAACCAAGATTACCCTACTCAGCAAAGTTATCATTCAGAATTGAAGGACAGATAGAGCTTCACAGATAAGAGAAAGCTAAAGGAGTTCATCACCACCAAACCAGTATTATATGAAATGCTGAAAGGTATTCTTTAAGAAGAGGAAGAAGAAGAAAAAGGTAAAGGTAAAAATTCTGATCAACAAATACATTTATATCAATAAGTGAATCTAAAAATCAAGTGAATTAAAGATCTGAGAAACAGAATAAACTAGTGGATATAATAAAATCAGGGGCAAAGAAAGGGTGTGGATTAATAATTATCAGGGGTAAAAGGGTGTGGGAGGTGCCGGAAGAGTCTGGACTAAAATCGTACACCTATAGATGAAGACAATGGGAAGGCGTGGTAATGGCAGAGAGTGGAGAGGGAACCAGGTGGAAGGGAGCTATGGGGGGGGGGGGGGGGGGAGAGAAACAATTGGAATAATCTGAGGAATAAAGATTTATTTAATTTAAATAAAATGAGTCTTGCTCTTGCCCAAAAAGTTGCTATGAGGCTGTATATGAAAAGTATTTAAATTATATGGACCTCACATCAATCAACAATACATAGTACAGTACTGTATATATACTTTAGACTCTGATCAGTAATATTAACATTACTTTTCCTCTTCTTATCCAAATGCCTAAATGAAAGGACAAGAATGCCTTTAATTTGTAAGCCTTGA